GAGTGGAAAATAATAATCAAAAATGAGTTTTGAGTCCAAACAGTACTTTAGGGACAAGATTGTACTGGGTGCCCTTAATTTTTGTCCATCTGTGAGTGTTCCTTTTTGCTGACTTGTTTGTAAAGAAATTGAAATATGTAAAATAGTGTTGACTGTTGCATGCACTCTTGTATAGTGTGACTTGTGTTAACTTACCTACATAAATTTTAAAATTATTTCAAGATATGAATACATAAGTTAGGTTATTCGGTGAAAGTGGTGAATATTTGAAATTTCCCAATTTTACCTTAATTTTATTCTCAACTATTTTATCCCAATTCAATCTTTAAATTTGATCATTTTTTCTTATTTTTATTAAATTCCTATAATTACAAAGCCAAAGTAATCAATTCATGTGGATTCAATATTATTACTTGAATGATATCGTGCACTTTTAAAAAGTAGTGAAATATAATTGTTTTAAATTGTTTTTCTATTTCTCTTAAAGTTAGCACAATTACAAGCTATCCCTTGACCAAGTTTAGAAAATTGCCAATTAGTCCTTAGTAATTTATGTTTTTCATGTTCCATAGAGGTTACTCGGTAAAAATATAAACATAAAAGTAATGTTTTGAAAAAGAATTAGACTCTAAAAATAGAAGAGCAAACTTTTAGAAAAACAAAATAGGATTAACTAAATTTTAGTTAATAAATTATTTAAGCCAAATAATTATTAATTATAAATACTTTTCTTATTTAATTATTTTAAATTAGATTAATAAGTAGCTAGTTTTTGTTTTTTTTACTAACTCTTCCACTTGATTCTATCAAGCTAAATGTTAATAGTGGTTCTCTTAAAAATTTTGACAATTTGGAGATTAGTGGTGGTCTTCTTTAAGATAATTTATTTTTGTTTGATAAGAAGATATAACTTTGATGCCTTCAGTGTTTCCTATACTAGGATGTAGCTCTTTTTTTTTTTTTTTCCTATTAATTTGTCTTATTTTCCCACTCAGAAAAAGAAATTGAGTAATTAACCAAGTTGAACCACTTTAAGAATTGTAGTTGTACAATCAAGTGGTCTGTGATCCAACAAACAGAGTAATAGTAACGTTTTAACCTTACAACTTCGACTTTGACAATTAAATTCTCAAATTGATTGTAGTATCATGCTCCGGTAATTGTAACAGGAAAAATGATACGTGAAAATTGAAAAAAGATACATCTTTCGAAATTTATTGACCCAAATATCCTCCGAATTTCTTAAAATTTAAAATATTAAAATTAAAAGAAATATTTTATTTGAAAATTTTGACAAATATAAATCATCAAATGGTTCAAAAGATGAGTAGGAAACTTTGATTCGGAACATATAGCATTGCGCTTGTAATATTTGTTGGTTGTTAAGGAGAAGAGAAGTATCAATTCAAGTAAACATACAATATGCATGTGTCCATAAATGAATTTTTTTTTTTTTTTTGAAACTTTGAGGCTTTTTCTTTTCTTTTTTTTTTGTGAAGCTTTGAGACTTTTTGAATAAGGGACTTTTATGAAAATTTATTATATAAATAAGGTTATTTTAAAACATTTTATTAGTTTGAGATAGTCAATAATGGTGTCACTAGTTAACTTAGTGTCACTCCCTGTCACATAATTTTTTTTTTAAATGACCCAGAAGAAGTGGAATTGTAGTCGAATGAGTCAATATATGTATAAAATGAGTGCCATTACCCACAATTAGAAATTTTATTTTTTTAAAATAATAGTGTCGTTATCCCTAATGAGAGACTAGTACAGTGTTGAATTATACTAGTGTCATTACTTCCAGAAGACTATTATAGTATGTGATTGTACTAGTGTCATTACCTCACATGGAGATCTTATTTTAATTTTTTTTTAATTCAAGTCCTGCTATTCAACTTGGGAGATTTTTTTTTCTTTTATGTAATTGTCATTGTCCACATTTGGACACCATTTTTTTTGAAAAAGTTAAAGTGCCGCTATTCAAAGTTGGACATCATTTTTTATTTTCTTAAAAATTTAAAATAAATAAAAATAATCATCCAACAGGTGCAAATAATTTAAAAAATAAAAATTTACTTAATTATATACATATGATAATAATAATAATAATAATAATAATAATAATAGGTGTAAATAATTAATTGATATTAAATTTGACATTAAACTATTTTATAATGTCATTTTTAATTTTAATATAAATTTAAGTTTGTAATATTTTTTAATTAAAATTAATTTTAAAATTTTTAATTAAAAATTACCGTGTAAATACAATAATTTAAAAAAAAATTGAAAATTGTACTCGACACTTAAAAGATAAAATATGAAGAATAAAAAATTTTGAAAAAATGGTGCCCAAATGTAGGCAACATAAAAAGAAGGAAAAAAAATCCCCAAGGTTGAATAGTGGGCCTTAAAAAAATTAAAATATGATCCTCCAATGAAGGTAGTGACACTAGTACAATCAAACACTATACTAGTCCCTCAATGAGGGTAACGACACTAGTATAGTTAAACACTGTACTAGTCCCCCAATAAAGGGTAACAAGACTTGTACCAACACTATACTAGTCTTTCATTGGGAATAGTGACACTATTATTTTAAAAAAATTAAATTCACCCTCATTGAAAGTAGTGACACTAATACAATTCAACTCTATGTGGCTCATTCGGCTCTGGCTCTATTTCTTTTGAACTATTTTTCAAGAAAAAAAATTACATGGTAAGGGGTGGCACTACGTTGACCAACGACATCCCTGTTGACTACCCTAAATTGGTAATATGTTTAAAAACAACCACATTTATGTAATAAGTTTTAATAAAGACTCCATTTGGGTCAAAAAGCTAAGCTTTGAAAATTATCTTTTGGATGAGAATTATAGGCTTTAACTTGTTAGATATCTATGTGAGATTAGGAACTATCAATCTAAGCCATCAAATATCAATTTGACAAGTTTGTCCCAAAGATTGAATGACTATTATCTCAACTATACAATAATCCCTTCCCACTCTCCACAAGACACGAGATTCCTTAAATCTACATCATAAATCTTTGTTCCAAATGAAGAATTTTATAAAGTTGAAGACTTGGTAGATGATTACAATGTTGAGTTAATGGAAGAGATAATGCATAAGTTGAGGTATCCATATCATCATCCTGTGTATGAGAGCTTGACTTGGTTAGAGGACAAAATACCTAGGGTCGAGCTTTACATTTTATGGGCCTTAGGTGAAACAATAAATATGGGCTCTTATATAATTTTTAGTAATCATGTTTTTAAAATTTTGGAGTCCCTCATAGTCATGGGTACAAGGCGATTGCACCTATGGACAACCTTTAGGGTTGGTCCTAAATACACCTCTTCCCTATTGACCAGATCAAACTAAAATATTAATCATAATAGTTGTGTCTCTACAACATGCAACAATTTTAATTAGTGTACCTAAAATTACTATTTTAGATGATAAGGTGTCAACCATGACAATTGTGTCTTTAGAGTATGTCAAAATCTTAATTATTATACCTAAAATTATCATTTTAGATAAAGTATTATTATCATACCAGACACCATATAAAATTATTGTGTATTATTATAGATAAGATTAGCTGGGGTATCATCTTCAAGACATGTGTTTGTACTAAATTTTCTGGAAAAAAAAAAAAAAGAAGATAATTTCAATATTATTTAATAATAAGATATGAGAAAAAAAATTAATTAAGGAAAAGAGATTCTCACCAACAAGATTATCTAACATAGATTAATTATCGATAAAATTAAAAAATACATACACTAATAATTGTTAGAAAAGAATGGCTCAATCCAAGGGGGGTGAATTGGATTCTATGACACTTTAAAAATTTTCAGAGTTCTTACGATCTTTATTTCAATTCAAACTTTTCTAATATGAATTTTCAAAGAAGTTCCTTAAAGACTTGTTAATGAAAATGAGTCCTATATGCTTTCTTGATTAATTTTTGATAAATTTCAAAGTTAAGAACAATCAATATGCAATACTTTGATTCAATTTAAAACAATGTTGTGCATACAAATATGTTAATCAAGAATAATCTCTTTAACACACAACCAAGATATTACTTAAAGTAAAAGATAAGGGTAAGAGAAGATTGCACAAGTCTTTTATCCTGGTTCAGTCATTCCACATGTGACCTACATCCAGTCCTCAATCATAACCTGATCAAGATTTGTTCCACTATCTTAATGAAGAAGTTTTACAAGCATACCACACATGCATACACTCCTACATTCAAGATAATCACTTTCTTGACCCCAAGAAAGCACCCCTTGTAGAAACCCACTACAAGAATTCCTTACCACTTGAGACACCTACTCAAGATTTACAATTATTCACAAAGAATTAAAGGAACGAATTCACCTAGAAACTGAATAAATCAGATAGTGAATTTAGAAGCAAATCTTAATCTTTCTCTTTTCAAGAATGTGATGATGATGATGATCTTTTCTCAAAGCATTTCAAAAACGTTTTACTTCTTGGTTTCACAAAGAAAACACTCCAAGAAGGTCACAAAGACTTCACAATAACGTTTTTCTCTTTTTGATTCTCTGTTCTATCTTGTTCTGAAGTTTCAAAATGTAAGAACTATTTATAACATTTTCAGAACCAGATAATCGATTATTTTAAAGGATAATCGATTATTTTGTTCTTCATGATTTCTGGAAATCAACCAAGAACAGATTAATCGATTATTTTACAGGATAATTGATTACTCCAGAGACAGAGAGTGATTCCTAGGATAATCGATTATTCCAGAGAGTGATTCCTGAGATAATCGATTATTTCACAAATAATCGATTATTACAGCAAGGCATCATTTTTACCTGTTGCTGGAATAATCGATTATATTTAATGATAATCGATTATTTTGAGTCATTTTTCAAAAATTCTGTTTTATGTCTCAAAATAAC